GCTCCAGTGAATTTGTCCAGAACACTTCTCAGAAACTTGGGTGGGCAGAAAAGTTGGAGGGGAGTACCAAGAAAAATGGCTCATGTAGCTGCATCTTCCATGATTCTGGCTTTATTCCATACGTGGTTAATACAGAAGTCTTTTTCTGTGCTTGCTTGCTCTCTCTCTCATATCAGCTGTGCGTGCTTATATCTGTTTAAACTTTGAAGCACATGAACAAATCTTCATAGCAGCAGCTAACTTGTTGCAAGTAACAGGCACAGCATTCCCAGCCTTTAGATGCCATAGTGGGGAAGCTTTCACCTCCTGCATTGCACCAGGGAAGAAGATGCAACCCTGATCTGGCACAGTGAGTTCTGCTCACCAATAGCATCACAAGTAGGACCATATGCCTGACTTCTGAGCGCTTACGTGACTGAACTCTAGGTGTGAAATGACAGTTTTGCAACTTGTTTCCAGGACTGGGATATGCAGAAAGCAGCTCTGTTTCAACACCTGCTTGAAACAAAGTATTGAAACTATTCCCAAGTCAGACTGTTTGAACTGATTTGTGCCTGTTTGGGCTCCCTACAGCAGGGAGAGGCAGTGTTCTGCTTGAAGGAACTAACTTCCCCACATGCAGAACTGGAACCTGGTGCAAAAGACATACACTTAGAAATGAAGGATTGATTTTAAATACAAGAAGTTCATAGAGCTTGGAATACTTCAACACAAAAATCCACTTCCTTGTTCTCTCCCCAGCTTCCTTCATAGATCAGTGGTGTTTTGTTCTTTAGTGGGAGGTGTGTGTGTTCCATTTTATTGGCATGATTGTTAAACTATAAAAGTGACAACTCCTTCCTGCTCTACTGCACCTTGCTCAGAGATTACCAGTATATCCTGATATACATTCTACCCATTGGAGGACTGCATTGACTGACTGGTATTTTGTTCTAGCAGGGTGATGGGGAAGCAAAGCCACAAATTGAAGCACACAGAAAGGGAGAAAAGTACATCATTGTAAAACTATTTATCACTGGGGCAAGAATATCTTGCAAAACTGTATTGCTTTGTAAGCTCTAAGCAAATTGCTGCTACAAAATAGTGCAATGAGACTGCTTAATGGGACAATCTATGTATTGCAAGAAACTGCTGCAAATTGTAGGTCTTTTCCTCTGTCCAAACATTCATAGGATTATACCATGAGATGCTCTTGTCCATGAAAAAAAGTAGATGAAACAGAGATGCCAGAATACATTTTTTAAAATGCTTTCTAAGCAACAGTCTGAAATGCTGCCTCTTCAGGAATTTTTGTTTTTGTCTGCTCCTCCTTTCCTGCTATGTCTCTGTTTTAGACTGGGCTATGACTGTACAGATTTTGTTAAATCCATGCAGTCTGTTTCATGGATTGCCAGACATCTTTCATTCATTTCACACCTGCTCACTGATGGAATTAAAACCATTTTTTGCATGTATGAGAATTCCTGTTTGCAAAAATGCATTGGGACAAGTGCACATTAGCACAACCCCCCTTCCCACCTCAGAAAAAACCCTAAACAAACAATCCACAAGTTTGTAAGGCTCAAAAAAAGCCAGTCTATCATGTAATCTGAGAGTCAGACTTATAGAAATCTAAACTTATTTGGCTCTTAGCTGATTTCTCTGCTATCTCCTTTTGAACCAAGTGTTTCTCAAATGTTTTGAAATTGTTATCTCTGTTTTCCTGTTCCAGTTCTAAAAATGCTTTCCTCCCGGCCCTGGCATTAACCATCTGTTCAATGGTTGAACAGCAATCCTGTTCTGTAGTTGCGTGAGTGCAGCTGCTAGCAAGGATCTGTGGTTGGAGAGAAGACATGCTAAAGATTCTTCTAGCAGGAGTGTCTGGCCCACCCCAATATTTTTCTCATCTTTTCTTCTTTAGCTCTAATCATACCTATTCATCCAACAAGTCCAGTATTAGGTTTTCTTAAAGGCATTGGTTCTGGTCCTTGGTATCCACTTTATGAGGGGCAGTCAAAAGCTGTACTTTGCACAGGGAAGTGCAAATCTGGAACTTGAGCACTTGTAAGTTTGCCCAACTCCACCTCAATGCTCATTCCAATTTGTGTCTGAATCAGATTGTGTGCTGATTTTTGCTTTCCACATGAAAATCCATTCAAATTTTTATGTGCATTTCCCCAATTTGTTCCTACTGAGTAGTGTGTTTTTTTCAAGAAGTACATGTTTACATATGGATTTCCCAAACTTATGCATGTTTGAAATCATTATTTGTTCTGTAAATCACATCATCTGCTCTGAAATTTACAGCCTTCAAGCGCAGATTGTGTTTGGGTCTGGGAGATCTGTATGGCCTAAAGTGTCTGATCCTGCCTAATCTTGGAAGTTAAGCAGGGTCGGGCCTGGTTGAAATCTGTATGGGTGATTTAATGTTGTGAGCCACCCGAAGAGCTTTGGCTATGGGTGATGTAGAAATGCAATAATAATCTGGATAAGTTCTGGTCAAAAACAAACTGAAACAAATTTCTCCTACATTCTGACCTTTGCACAAATTTCTCTAGGAGAGAGGGAGCAGCTTGGTTAGCCCTTAGCTGCTTCTGTTGGCTGACTGGTGATGGGTTGCATGAGGCATCGTGAGCTGAGAACCAAGAAGTGAGTTTGGGAAACCAGTTTGGAGTCATTCTGTGTGTGACGGTGATGGAACAAGGAAATGCCCTGCCTGCCTGGAGATTGGCAGCCTCCCTGTCTGGGCGAGCAGGGGCAAGCTCTGCAGAGCTAGGACAGACGACGCACAGAGACGCTCCAAGTTCCATCTCACACTTTCCCTCTCTAGAATCCAGATATACTTTACAAACACACTTGGATTCTCCAATATTCACATCAAAAATCTTCTATATCAGCAATAATTTTATATTATTATTATTGTATTTTATTGTGTTGTAAGCCGCCCCGAGGCTTCGGCAAGGGGCGGCATAGAAATGTTTTAATAAATAAATAAATAAAGTGCTTATGACAGATAATAACTATCCCATGCTGCATCAAACCAATCCTTTCTGCTTTCTATAATCTTCGTGCTGTGCTTCACAGCCAGGCTGTGGGCTAACGCTGGCAGCAGCACACAATAAAAGTCATATTGGAGACATTTATTGCATTGTTCCCATCTGTCAGTTTCCTGCTGCGGCACCTCTCCTGGGGAAAATCGCTCCCCCACTTTCTCCCCCCTCTCGCCCCCCCCCCCAGCTGAAGCTAGGAGTATAAAACAATCAGGTGCAATCTACACAGGACTGCTAACTTGTTCTAGGATGTTATTTCACTTGCAATAGCACACTTTATGGTACAAAAGCAGGAACCATGTTCATTGTAATATTTGGGGGCTAAGGAATTAGCTATAGTGATTGCCTGAGATGAAGACAGATCATGTATTAACAAGAACTCAGCGGGGTGCTCATAGAGGAATTGACAGCGGGCTCAGGACTACCAAACAGATAAACAGGGCTATTTATAGTCTCTGATTTGTCACACAGAATGTAGTTCTTGGGGTCAGGTGGAATATTTTGGGCAAACTGGACAAGAACATGGACAAATTGATATAAACCCAGAATTTCTGTTTTCTTGGTATGCATTTTGGGAGGAAAAAGGCAGGATATAAATCGAAACATAAATAGTATGGAGCATGAATGTCCACTTGAATGGAGGGGGTGCAGTGTAGTACTGCAAAGCCTTCCTTGGCCATTAATAGACCCTAATTCAGTCATCCAGATTTCTTCTCCACTGCAATGCTAAATATGACCCCTTGATTGGCATTGTTGCATACAATCTTTTTATAGAGTATTCCCAAGGAATTGTTTAGACAACTTGGCTTTTTAAAAAGTAGCTTTATTAGACATGGATCTGTCATTATTTGAGTCAAGTCTTCTTGGTCTTTCATCTGCAGTGCGCCAGTAGAGATGAATTAAGTATTTGGGGAAAAAAGACACGATTACTCTTCTTTCTCAAAGCACCTGCTCTTCCTAGCTCTTCTACATAAGAAAGAAGTTTCTTCCTGCTCATGGTGTGCCTGAACCCCTATCCTGCATGGATATTTGGTAGCAGTTCCTACTATGTCCCTGATGTCCTTTCTGGGATGTTGCGGAATCAGGCCATTTGCAACTAGTGCTCTGTCTGTCTTTTCTATTTCTACCTCTGTGTTTGCAGAGATAAGGCTGAGAAATTTGATAAACCTTGTTTCTGTGTGTCTGTGCATTTTGTAGAGTGTACTGGATGGTTCAGGGATGGGATTCCCCCCTCGTTTTCTTCCCATGTTAGTGTCTTCAAATGTAGCACCAAGAAGTGGTTGTTACTTTGGTTCAGTTGACCAGGGTAAAGCAGCCTGATCTTTTGCTTAAATTCTGAGTTAGCCTATCAATTGAATTTGTATTTTGTATGAAGCAGGGAAAATTAAAACATCTCCACTACATACAAATGTGCATGGGAAGTAGTGCTTTGTATCTGCCCTTTTACCACTCTTCAGCCAACTTGCTGTGTAAGACAATAAAAGAGTGCCTAAGGAGCAATGAATTCGTGTTAAAATATTCTGGAGCATGCAATGTTAGACAGTCATCAAAATCATAAGGATCATCTTTGGACTGACTTCCTGACCTGGTTTGCGTGACACAACAGGCCGTCATAGCTTAATTTATCTTTGGGGGCTGTTGCATCATGCTTGTGGATGCCATTTTTGCATGGCACGTATGTGTGCCCAGCTTGCTGTGTCTTGCAGATGTCTGAACTTTGGCTAGTACTATTACTCAAGTTCTTGTCTTGCTATGATTTTATTCTACTGCTTATTCCCCTCTCCCCCTGCTGATATATACTGGGGAAAGAGTGGATTTTGTACTCATCTCTTCTTCATCAATTAAATACTTTTTTTCAGCTGCTGACACTTGTTTTTCCTCCATGGATTGTTGTGGGTGCCGATCCTTGATTCATTTGCTTAGTGGTATCTCCAGGCTAGCTGTTAACCGTGTGTTTCCCATGTGTTTCAGCTGGGATGAGAGCAGTTCTATCAGTAGCGGCCTCAGTGATGCCTCGGACAATCTCAGCTCAGAAGAATTCAATGCCAGCTCTTCACTCAATTCCCTGCCTTCCACCCCCACGGCTTCCCGTAGGAACTCTGCCATAGCGGTAGGTAGGCCAAATGCCTAGGTGTCCAGAGCAGCTGCTCTCTTTTTTTATGCTGTGCAGGCAGATTTGGATAAAAATGCGTGAAATCTAATCCTTTCTCCCCACAATGCAAGCTAGTTATATGTGAAGTAGGGGATTTGAGGAGTGTCATGGAATTATAGAGTTGAAAGGGGCCATTTAAGCCATCAGTTCCATATTGCTGGATAGTGTAGGAATCCACGCTAAAGCATCTCTAACAAACTCAGCAGAAGGATATATATAGTTTGCCCTGTGTCCTGGCCTTGGTTGTGCCCTTGGGACTGAAGGACTAGGTTTCTTTCACTTGCAAAATTAGTCTGTACAGCAGCACTTTGGAGGCTTTGATGAAAGAAGGGCTGCAAATCTGTGGTAGAACCCATGTTTTGCCTGTGGGGAGGTCCCAGGTTGAGTCCCTGGTTATTTTAAGTTAAAGAAGGGACATGTAGCAGCTGGGCTAGAAGTTCACCTGGAGTAAGGTAGCCTCCATTATACCAATGACTTGAGAACTCTTATGGGTTGAGATCTCAAGCTGACGGTGTCCCTCTGGTATCTCTCCTGCAGCTGCGCACAGACTCTGAAAAGCGCTCGCTGGCAGAGAGTGGGCTGAACTGGTACGGTGAGCCAGAGGAGAAAGCTCAGAAGAAAATGGACTATGACAGCGGGAGTCTGAAAATGGAACACAGTTCTACCAAATGGCGACGGGAGCGCTCTGAAAGCTGCGATGAGGCTCCTGCCAAAGGTGGCGAGCTGAAGAAGCCAGTCAGCTTGGGACCCCCAGGCTCCCTGAAAAAGGGCAAGACACCCCCTGTAGCAGTGACTTCCCCCATTACTCACACAGCCCAGACTCTCAAAGTGGCAGGTGAGGCTGGAAGAGAGAGGGGAGTCTAATGTCTGTTAACTTCTGGAGGAGCCTAACTAAGGGTGCATGACAGAGTGGGGAACATATCCAAATATTTCACTGAGATGTAGTCTTAGGATGCAGTTAACACACTCCTGGCTCCCTTGATTTCCTAGCAGTGGGCTAGGGTTGGACCAGGGCTGGAACCTGACTTTCTGGATGTTGTTGGATTCCCATCAGCCCTCCTCAGGATAGTTAACAGTAAGGAATTATCAAAGGTTCTCTCTTTGTCTTCAGGGAAAAAACACACAGTTCTATCTTGCCTAGTAGAATTTAAGTACCTTTTTGCTGAGAAGTTCTCTCACTTCCCGTTTGTATACTGCTGTTAAATCAGATATTTGGGGATAAATTTGCTTCAAGAATAGAGAAGTTCAACATAGCATGGGAAGTCCTTGTCCTGACACTTCCCCTTTGTATCACAATGGGCCCCATTGTGAAAAAATAGCCTTGGAACATGTAAAAATCTGTGTGCAGAAGTGCCCTGCCCTTGTAGCTGTGTCAAACTTTGCTGCTTGTTGATTGGGTCCGAACATTCTTTCTTAGGTAAACCTGAAGCAAAAGCAACAGACAAGAACAAGCTCTCTGTGAAGAATGCTGGCCTGCAGCGTTCATCTTCGGATGCTGGCCGAGATCGGGTTTCTGATGCCAAGAAACCTCCTTCTGGGCTCACCCGGACCACCACCTCTGGGTCCTTTGGCTACAACAAGAAGCCACCTCCTGCAACTGGCACAGCCACAGTGATGCAAGCTGGTGGGTCAGCTACACTTGGCAAGATCCAGAAGAATTCTAGCATCCCAGTCAAGCCGGTCAATGGCAGGAAAACCAGCCTGGACGTCTCTAATGCAGCAGAGCCTGGCTTCATGGCCCCAGGGGCGCGCACCAACATCCAGTACCGAAGCCTGCCACGCCCAGCCAAATCTAGCTCCATGAGTGTGACTGGTGGGCGCAGTGGGCCACGTCCTGTTAGCAGCAGCATTGACCCGAGCCTCCTCAGCACAAAGGGTGGCATCTCAGTCTCGCGCCTCAAGGAACCCTCTAAAATTGGCACTGGTCGAAGCACCCCAGTGCCAGTAAATCAGACAGACAGGGAGAAAGAGAAAGCTAAGGCCAAAGCTGTGGCACTGGATGCTGACTGCGTCTCGCTCAAGAGCATCGGCTCCCCTGAAAGCACCCCAAAGGCTCAAGGTGGCCACCAGACTCCTGCCAAAGTGGCCGAGCTGCCACCAACACCACTCAGGTAGGAACTGTTGGTGTTTCCAGGCTGGCCTGTAGCCTGGATTGCCTTTCAGATGATTCACTGTGGGATCCTGTAGTCACCAGATCTCTTCTTATCCTCACCCAGGAACAAGAGATGGTGCTGCTTTTTACCAGGTTGCTGGAAGGGTATAGTTCTTGTTGTATGCTTTCTTTTAGGGAATGGATGTTGATGTTGTGAAATCTGTCACAATTTCGGCTTGATTTAAGAAAATGACATAGAGAAACCCAAAGCTTCGTTAGCCATGACAAAGAATTGAATTGTCCTAAGAAAACTTTACTTAAAACTTAGATTCCTAATGGTTCACACTCTTCAATATGAGGAAAGAAATAACATCTTAATATCTTTTTATATCTGGCTTTGAATCCTGACAGACTGGGAAGACTTGGAGGCAATAAGGGTTGAGGTCTCTAGGCGGCAGAATCATTTTTGCTGTTATGGAAAAGGGATCCAGAGACAAAATTACATTGGGACTATAGTTCTGTAACCGAAATTGCTAGGAACTGTATGGTGTGATCCTACCTGTGCAAAATCCTGCGTGCCTGCTCCAACCTGTGTCCTAACACAATGTTAATCCTTCCCTGCAGGTCAGCTACCAAAAGCTATGTAAAAACTCCTTCTTTGGCCAACCTGGACAAGGTGAACTCCAACAGTCTGGACCTCCCTTCCTCAAATGAACTCCACCAGATGCATGTTGGCAAACTGCAAGAGCCCCACGCAACCACAGTGAATGTGGGCACACACCTCACGTCATGCTTCACACCAAGCCCTGCTCCAGTCCTTAACATTAACTCTGCTAGCTTCTCCCAGGGCCTAGAGCTCATGGGTGGTTTCAGTCTCTCCAAGGAAACCCGCATGTACCCCAAACTTTCAGGGTTGCACAGGAGCATGGAATCCTTACAGATGCCAATGAGCCTGCACAGTGCCTTCTCTGCAGGCAGTACAGCTGCTCCCACCACAACTCCGACCCCTCCTGTTGCTGCTGAAGAGGAGCCCAGTGAAATGGCCTGGACAGGGAGCCCCAGAATCACACATCTGGAGAGGTACGGGAAGGGGAATGGGGTTGCTTGTATATGGTGGGATGCTGCCCACTATGCAAAGGCTGGAATGCTTTTTGAAAGGGGACTCTTCATAAAGCAATACCTGGTTCTGAAAATACATTCTCACAATGTAATCAAGAACTTAATTTCGTTTCAGAGATGGAAGCAGGGAGGTGGTAGAGTCTTGGGGAAAGGGTACACAAACTCCAGTGGTACCTTCCAGTTCATTCTTCTTGTACCTGTGCTTGTGGCAAAGTTCTAGTGGCACCAGTGGTGCAGATAGGTTTCTGCCATAAGCCTGGTATGCTTTGCATTCCCAAACTTTTCCAGCCAGTTTATCTCCCATAAGGAAGCACAGCTGGGCTCAAGCAAGTCATTAATGAGTGCTACTGTTCATTTCCATTCCTGCAGCTCTAACCGTGATCGGAATACATTGCCCAAGAAGGGACTAAGGTAATCCTCTGTACCCCTATCCCCACCCCCTGGATTTTTTTGCTTTTGTTTTTTGGTAGATGCTAACTGGTAGTCAAATACATCACTTATTTTAAAGCCAGGTGGGAATGTCCTCCAGCTTTTTGCGTTAGTCGTGCCATGACCAGCCAAAGAACTCTTAAGTATTTTTCACAAACCAGCACTGTGTTTAATTCTGCGCCTGCTGTTTATCATTTGCTTAAGCAGGGAACCTGAGATTCTGTAGCACCACAGAGGCAGGATCCCATAGAAAATTGATTCACCATGGTCGTTTATAACAGTGGCCCACCCTGTTTCTATTAAAACCAAATAGACTAGGGGTCAAGTTACATCCTCAAATTTGTATTTCTTCATCTTATCCTACAAGGGCCAGGCACAGCTTTCCCACCTATTTGAGCACAAACCCTTGCAAGAACCATTCATAAGACTTAAATTGTTTTTAGGTTTCTTTATTCTTTTGTTTTCTACAAACTGCAGTAGCTTTTTTAAAAGTAAAGTCCACAGTTAACAAATAATAACTGTTAATATGCACCAGGATTTATAGTGCAAACCTTCAAGAGCTGCAAGGTTTTTTTTTACTATTAATGCACTAAAATTTCACTAAATAGACCTTGATACTAACTTTTACTTCTCTTATTAATTAAAAGAGAATAAATGGCCTCTATTAATTTTTGTAGCAGTTAAAATATTTATTGGGCCTGTGCATGGCCCGCATTCCAATCTGTTCAGATTAAATCTGAAGTTGGTTCCATAGATTTCCATGGAATTTATTTGCAGGTAAGTGATAGAACTCTGTTTATCTATTTCCATGAATTTCCTTGGAAACAGTGCCTTGAATGATATTGGTAATAACCTGTTCTTCCCTTAAAATGTTGCAAACAGTTCATTCACATTTGCTTAGCATTACCCTTCTTAAAAAAGATCCACCTCTATACAGCGCCTTCCAGCTGTGTGGGACTAGAAGTCCCATCATTCTCAGCCAGCATGGCATGTCTAATTGATAGATATTAAGTTGGTGAAGGTTACTATAGAAATAGATGCTTTCAGACCAACTGTGACTTCAAAATTTCCAGATTCTTGAGAGTTACAGCTGATAGGCTTAAACTTCCCATTTTGAATCAAGCAGTTGCACCTCTGAATTTTGAGCCCTTTCTTATGAAAGATCAGGAAACCTTGGGAAAGAGAAAATCAGGTTAATTCAAGAATAAACAGTTGATCCTCCTTGTTTACTCTCTTTTTCAGCCCAGGGTCAGGTTTTAGTAAACTTCTGCGAAAATAAAGAGGTGACTATGGTTGTAACCAGTTGTAGATGGGGCCCATTGAAGTGGATGGGGCTTAAGGTAGATGAACATTGGACACGGCCTATGAAATCCTGGTTGCAAAATTGGGGCTTGGTTCTCTGCTTTTAAGAAGATCTGCCCCACAGTTAGGATCTCCCTAACTGGGGCACCTGGAACTGTCTGGATGACCTGCATTCCACCATGCTCTTTTATGGGTCCCTCCTTTCAAAATGCTACCTGTCTGTCTTTGCCTACTTCTCTTTCCATTGCTTTTGGCAGGTATCAACTCCAGTCCCAGGAAGAGGCCAAGGAGAGGCGGCACTCACACACAATTGGAGGGTTGCAGGAATCAGACGATCAGTCCGAGCTGCCCTCCCCGCCTGCTGTCTCTATGCCGTTGGTTGGAAAGGCGCCGCTCACTAATATTGGTTGGTTTCCTTTCCTTCTGCTTTCTACAAAAGGAAGCTCTGGAGGCCACTGCTATAGATGGGTCCTGTCCCAGTGAGGCTACTGCATGTTTATGCTTTCCGAGAGCCTGTCCCTTGAGTTTCCTCCTTTTAAGTTAGCATTGGGAGTTCACCCAGAGACCAAGGATGGGGTCCTGCAAAGGAGGAGTCTGGACATGCTTTGTGTCACCTGCAGGTATGAGGGGGTAGAACTCAAAGTGAATATAAACTGTAAAGGGATACACACAAAAATGTAGGTATTTGAGGGTGTGGAGGGGTTAGCAAAAGTGAAAATGAAACTAATAAGGCTGTTTAACATAATTCTACTTTAAAGCCAACACAAATGCAGGATGAATCAAAGTTATACAGTTCCTTTTAGCAAAACCCACTCTCCGCTAAGGGAGAAATTAAATAAACTTATAATGAATGATAAAGCACACATTTAAATTAACAGCCTGGGGTTTTTCTGTACACATACTAGTTTTTGTCCTACATATTATTGTTTTATCCATTTGTGTCTTTCAGTTTGATATAGTAAATCTACTTCTGATTCCAACTATCCTTTATAAGGGAAGGGGAAATTATACCAAGCTCTCTCAGTACAGTATGAGAGAGAGAGACCAGGCCACTATGATGATGATATTGTTGTTGGGAATATCATATTCCTTGATGTGAGAGAGGCATGAGCTGTGTGTTGCTCCCCATGTGCTCGTAACAACATCAGTCAACAAATCGGTGTATGTGATACAGTTATACAGATGTGATGTGTATTTACTGGTCCTATCCCTCCCTATTTCCATCCTGGCTGCAATACCCATGAGTAGCCCACCTGTTTCCTAGACCCCAGTCCCTGGCTTTGAGCTGCTCTGACTAGCCTCTCCTCTCCTGCCCCCTTTTCCTGCAGTGAGTCCCACGGCAGCCAACACCCCGAGGATCACTCGCTCTAACAGCATCCCCACACATGACTCCACCTTCGAGCTGTACAACGCCTCCCCAATGGGCAGCACCCTCTCCCTGGCAGACCGGCCCAAGGGCATGATCCGCTCGGGTTCCTTCCGTGACCCTGTGGATGATGGTGAGAGTCCTGCACCCAGCCAGGAGGACAAGAGTCTCCTCCTCAGTAATAATGGTGAGAGGGATACAGTCACAACAAACTCTGTCCCATCAGATCTTCTCCAAGAGCACAGGATGTCTTGGAAGGTGGCCAGTGCAGCTGTGGGAAGAGCTTCTGGCTTTTGGGCAGGAAGATGGCATGGAGAGTTAGGGATGGAAGGTCTGGATGGATGAGTGCAACGAAAGCCATCCAGACCTTCCTCCTATACATCCAGCACCATTGCAACTAGGAGGCAGGCACTCTATTGGGCTCAAATGTTTGCCTTCTACAAGGCAGAGTAGCTCCTAGTTGTACTGTTGGCTCTCCTATTCTCCCTTTTGGGGTGTGTGATCACACTGGGACTGTAACGCTCTTGTGTTTCGTTTGCATGTATGGCATGTATGGTATTACTTCTTGTTTGGTATTTGCAGACCATTCACACTTGCATTAAACTGATGTACATGCATCAAATTCAAAACCAGTAACAGAAAATCACCTCTTGCGGTTGAACTCACAGAGCATTTTTCCCTTTGCCAAGGAGGTCCCTTTCTCTGCAAGTATGCCCTCTTAAAGGGTCATAAGCCTTTGTGGACCCAGAAACACATTAGTTTTTAAATGCTGTTCTGATCCAATTTTCTGCTTTAGCCCCCAGGAAGCCCCTTCTATTAACTCAGGCTGCTCTTGATGTTGTGGTCCTAAACCTTTGCTCACACCTGCCCTCTTGGTTTCCCACTGCCCCACCTTCCATGTGTGCTGATGTTCCCTAGGCCTCTTTGTGGCCAGTAGCTCTTCCTACCATGTCCAGGTGATGTTCCATGACACGTGTTTCTCTCTGTCTATTGCAGTTCATGGATCCGTGCTGTCCCTGGCATCCAGTGCTTCCTCCACTTACTCTTCCGTAAGCTGTGTTCCCTTCATCAGCTAGCCTGTCCCATCCTTTGCTTTCTCTGTGCTGCATTCCAGCAGGCTCCTTTCTCCTCCCCAACTCCACCCTGGGGTGACCTCCTGCCACAGTCCTTCCAAGTAGGGTGGGGGGCAGAGAGTTCAGGGCTTGGCATGCCATAAGCATGGGGTGCAGTAGAATTAGTTGCATAGAGCTGCTGGCTGCAAGGAGGGTGCAATAGGGTGGTGGTGGTGGTGGAGGAAAGATTGCCGTGCAGGCCACGTGACCTGAGCATGGCCACTCACCTGTGCCACGGGCTGTGCTTGTGAAGACCCCTGCTACTTCCACCCTAACCACCTGCCTCTCTGTCTCTCCTCTGCCCCATCACGTGCCGCCAGGCGGAGGAGAGGATGCAGTCTGAGGTACAGTACAGTAAGCTCCTCTCTTTCCTTCCCAGTGCTGGGCTGCTCTTGACCACTGGTGGAGAGCAAAGGGCCTTCCTGCTCATTGACCCTTCTGCCTCTCTGTCTCTCCTGTAGCAAATCCGCAAACTGCGCCGTGAGCTGGAGTCATCCCAAGAGAAGGTGGCAACCTTAACCTCCCAGCTGTCAGCCAACGTGAGTTGCCCGTTTTGAAATCACTGCTGCCATAAATGCCTCCCGGCTCTGCCAAAGTTCCAATATTGTTTCGATGTTCTTGCCAAGCATTTGTATGCATGCATTGTATGTATCTATTTAGTCCTTTCTATGCTCATACATATGTATGTAAAAAGTCATTTAGGCAGTTCTGGAGAAAGGAAATAAATATTGTAGAGGTGAAGGCCAAGAACTGGGGGAAGACTAGGGGAAAACTAAGATGAGAGCTGAAAGTGCAATACATGAGGAAATACGGTTTGCTGGGCGTAAACTCGCTTCTGTCTTGAAGCTTCTGGCTCAGAGTACTGTCAGATGTTTCCCTCATGTTTACTAGTTTGCATTGCCAACAGTGATCCCTAGAAATGTATTCCAGCTGGATGCTCAGATTCTGACAGAGCCACTCAACTTAGGCAGAGTCTGTGCAGTTCTGGACATCCAGGGTAGCCATGCAGTCCAGAACGCTAATCTGTCCTTGATTGTCAGGCAGCAAAATCCGAGGAAGTTGAGGGGAAGTGGGTTGGCTTTTCACGTGGAACAGCAGCACCCTCTAGTGGGAACCTAGTGTTTTATGAGTGCTGAGGCTGCAACAGAGCTTGGGGGCTTTGCTGCAGTAGAATTAATTCCCTCTCCCTGTTAGTTCTGGATTTGGACAAAACCTAGGACTCATCTAGCTTCCCTTTGGCCATGGCAAGGATGACAAACACGATGATCAAACCCTATCTTCTCACTAAGCTTCAGTTCCTTTCTTTGTTCAAATTCTCTCTTTTTTGCTGAGAATATAGCACCCTCTTCTTTTTCTCTTCAGGCTAACTTAGTAGCAGCTTTTGAACAGAGTCTGGTGAACATGACATCCCGTCTCCGACAGCTTGCAGAGACTGCAGAAGAGAAGGTGAGGCCTATGAGAGGGAAACGGCAATAGGACACCCCCACTTGCAGGGATCAGCCTTCATTTTCAGCATTGAACTGCACAGAGTCAAGCACTCTCATTTAATAGCAGAGTGAATGACCCTGCCTCCTGTAGCTCCAGGGACTGAGGGGAAAACAACAGTAGAATTATAATGATTATTTATCATGTTGTATGTTGTTGAGTGACATCCAGATTCCAAGCTGAAGCTTCCAGCTTGGGAAAGAAATCCTCTTCTTTTTAGTTTGAGGACCCTAATCACAGAACCTGGACCCACTGCATTTTTCCTACACATAACAATTGGATTGAACAACAGTTGTCTGATAAACAGTGAAATATACTTCCTTATCCCACTTTAAAGCATGAGGTTTTTTATTTGTAGGAAAATTTATATTTCAGATCATTAGGAATTCCCTGCCACTATAACTCAGACTTCCACAAATTAACCCCTTTCCCACTGCCACCAGTTCTCTTGGAATACTTTAAAGGTCCTAGTAGCTTGGTAAAAGAGGTGCAAATGTGAGGTGAGCACTAACACAAGAAACAGTATGAACTATTAAATAGGTTGTTTATTGCAAGATTATTTTCTACATTAGATAATACTGTTTCTTGAATTATAAACACAAATTAAATATTCTTGGTTATTGTACCTACCCAGGGAGACTTCCCTGTTGACTAAACTCGCAGTAACACCCCCCCCCCAATCCCTGTCCCATCCCATCCCTCACAATCCCAAATAGATGCTGTACAGAAAACTTCCTCTGCCTTCAGCCCCTCCTGTGGCCTCTGGCTTTTGTGATACCATGCAGAAATTACTTCCCAAAAGCTCCTTCTGGTCAGACCTCTGACTGAATCCCGCTGGTTCAGGGCTCTGCTGGCCACCTGGCATGTCACATAGCCCAGCCTCCTCCTCTCTACATCCAACAGCTCTGGATTCCAGTTCTTCTTCGGAGAGAGTCCTCGCAGGCCAGCTTACTCTTTTCCTAGCTCTGAGCACTTCTCCCCAGCCACGTACCAGTAACCCCAACTCCTTGTTTTCTTTTCTAGCTGTCTGTAACAGACTACTCCCCAAGTTTCTGCCTCTTTATGGGACTTCTAACTGGCAAGCATCTTGGTTGACTCAAAACAAAGATAGCTTTTAAACTGCCAGATGCCTCCTTTCATAATACACAGTGACAAAGCAAGGCTTCTAGCCTACTCAGATGCATTGGGAAGAATCCAACAGGGCACTTATACTTCCACCAGTTCTCGTCTCCCACCGGTCCATTGTGCTAGCATCCCCATCACTTGTGCAACAGTGATTTAGCACTTTTGGGGCAACCCAAAATCAGTGCAAAGACTCATTTCTGTGAGGAGGCAGTTTGGTGAAGCTTGCATAAAGGAATTTTGCCTTCTTCCATCAGTTAAGTTTTGAGCTTATTTTGAGGCTTCTGATGGAAAACACTAAATCTCCTTTGTGTAAGTTGCGGCTCCCAATTGTGCAAATGAAGCAGTAGGACCCACCACTTGCAGAAATGAATCGGTGAAGGCATAAGTGCCCTGATGCATTCTGCCCTTTATAGTTCAAAATATTCAAGTATTACCATACGTAAGCAAACAGGAGTAAATACATTTCTCCACAAGAATTGGCATAATTTTGGAGTGACATATTTGAAGAGAGAAGGCTTCATAGCTTTCTTCTTTAGACACTACCTGATTGCAATGAGGTCTGGTAATGGAGAGCCCAGAATGCCTTTTCTCTGTGACGGCAGTGGCACAGATGGACAGATCCAGGTGTCTGGAGCACTGAGAAGAGCTTCCTCTGGTAGTTCCATCTTCTGTCAGGGGGCCTTGATAAGCATATCTGCCTGTGAGGGCAGAGCTCTTAGGCAGTCCTGGGCCGCTGGATTGAGCCACCTTTTTCATTCTTCACAATTCCTTAGAGGGTTGCAAGGTTGTGTCCCTGCCAAGTCTATGCAACTAATTACAGTGATGGCTGTGGCCAGCTGCCTGATGCTGTGTGGAGTGCTGGCCCAGCAGAGGGGGTTGAAAGCAGGGCCCAGAGCCCCCTCCAGCCTCCGAGCTGCACAATCTCATTTCCTTTCTGCCATCTTTCCCTAACATATTTTTGCAGTAAAATGCCCAAGTAAAGTAATAACCACCAGCATCCGAGGCATTCATCAACTCTTTGTCATCTTCTAGGATACGGAGCTGGTGGACTTGCGGGAAACCATTGATTTCTTGAAGAAAAAGAACTCAGAAGCCCAAGCTGTTATTCAAGGGGCCCTGAATGGAACTGACATTACACCCAAAGGTGAGCACAGCCTTCCATACACACTGTCTTCTGGATATTTTAGCTCGTACCTGCTGAACAGTGGAATGAATGGGATCCATTGATAAATGGTTCTTTTAAGGACAGGAAAAGGAGTAATGAGGCATGGTGCTGGGATGGAACAGTTATAGGTCCCTCTCTGCATTCTGGCATTTCTTGCAGGGAATAGAATCAAAGGCGTGGAGAAATGGGTCATGGTGGTCTCAGAGCAGCAGAGCAGTGGTACACGCACATGCATACTCTCTGTCTACTGTGTGCCCACATATTCACCCACTGGTTTGGTCAGGCCTCCCCAGCATAGTAAGCTCCTAGGTGAAACTTCCCTAGGATAAGGGGCCAAGGTAGCACTGATTCTGAAAACATTCCTATCTTTTCTTATGGTTCTGGATCTTGTTCCTCTTCTATGGCATCCATTTGCCCTCTTTTGTTCTATCTTTGCTTCCTCAGGCCATAGCTGATTTTGTGGCTTTTCCTAGACAAAGTTCTAGCTTTCCTAAAAGCTTCTACTAAATAAATAAGGATGAAGATGATTTTTTTCTTTGCTCGTTGAGTTCAGGTTGAGACTGAAAAACAGAACTGGTAGCTGCTCTCCTGGATGCTTCCTAGTCTGTCTGTAGCTTCGAAGTACATACCTGCTCTCTTTTCCTTGTGTCTCTTCCAGAGCTACGGATCAAGAGGCAAAACTCCTCTGACAGTATATCCAGCCTGAACAGCATTACCAGTCATTCCAGCATTGGCAGTGGCAAGGATGCAGATGCTAAGAAGAAGAAGAAGAAAAGCTGGGTAGGTCAAGGAGCAGGAACAGTCAGCTGAATAAATGTGGGCTCTGAATGGGGATGAAGCCCTGCAGTGTGCGTCGCCACAGCTGCTGCTGTCTTTACAACCTTTTCTCAGGGCTATTGACATGCAGAAAGTACTAGTGACTGCTTAGAGCAAATTTTTCAGCCGAGAGATGAGTTTCCATTTATTTTGCACCTGAGACCAAATGAGAATCTGTTCTTGTTTCCAAGCTAGATTCACCACCAAGTGATGGCTAGCCTTTAAGATGGTATTGATAATGAAGTACTAACAAGTAGACAAGGATGCTAACCTAGTATGGAGGTAGTCACTGTTAAAAAGCTCAGGGGGCTCTTAAAATAATTTCATATGCACTTAAAAACTGATAACGTTCTTAGCATGATTCAGGTTAAATGGCTGTTGCTGCTTCCCCAGTAACTTCAAACACTGAATGCTTTCCTGCCTGCACTCCATCTTGTGGTCCATCTTGGGTCAAGAAAGGAGACCAGAAAAACTTCCTGGTTTTGCAGGGCACCCTTTAGAAAGGAGTAATTTAACTTGGAACATAATAGGAACATTTTTAAGTGCCCGTGAAATCATTATGGAAGGCAGCAGTTGCATCACAGCAGTTTCTGCATGGCAAGTTATTGCTTATGCTGCTGATGTGACTTGTATGTTTCTTGTACTTTGCAGCCCTGTTTTTTTCATTGTTCCCAAGATGGGAAGAGAGCTCACTCACACCTACCCCTCCACCCCATAGGTGTGTCATGCCTTTGAGAAAGCTGTTGTAGGAGACTCCCCTGGTTCTTGTGTGCTGCTCTGCGCATCTTAGCTGATTACAGGCAGGGACCTGAGCTGAACGCATGATTAAGTCTTGCTGTGTTCTTTTTTCCCCCCTTTCTTCCTTCAATGCTGACCCCAATGTTTTTTTTCCAGGTATATGAGGTAAGTTTGGAATTTCCCTGCCCGCTGCCCTACCACCCCCTTCACCGGTCCTTTCCTTATGTATTCCTCCCGACTGATCACTCCATTGTGTTGGGACAGCACAGCGCTTGTGGAACTAACCATTTGCTCTTATGCCTGCGCTGCCAAGCTGCACTGCAAGGGGCCACTGCACTGGTGCTGGGGGCAAAGTTTCATGCCTGTTGCTGATGTGGCTTTGAATCCACCCCGATGCTACCCAGCCTGACCAGTCTTCTCAAGGTTGAGAGCCACTGGTGGAAAGGGGGCTCCAAGAATTGGTTTTCAGGGGAATGCATTAGCAGACACCTTAGTGACAGGGCATACTAATCCCCTTTCTGCTGCAAGTAACTGGTGAGGCCTTCTGAGCTGTGCTCCAGAACTGAAGGAGGAGGTGTGTGTCACAAAATATCATGTTCCCCTAAACTATACATATATATCCTGCTCCCCAAATTGAGAGAGAGGAGAGAGAGAGAGACTATATTTTGGGAATATTATGACTATATTGTGAGTCAAGGCAGAAGAGGAAGGCCAAATACGAAATGGAATGATACGTAAAGGAAGCCACAGCTGACAGTTTACAGGAGCTGAATAGGACTGTCAAGGACAGATATTTTGGAGGACTTTGACTCGCAGATTCTCCATAAATCAGAGGCAATCTGATGGCAGCAACAGCAACATCTTCCTTCTCCATGTTGGGGAGCTTTCAGACGTATTTTCTGCAAGTCGGGCAGTTTCTCTTTGTCTCTGAAAAAGGAAACTTGCAAACTTTGCAACTGTTGCATTGAAGGGATCACTTGTGCCATAGTGTAGGCCTTGCATGGTTTTTTGTGTAGGCCACCTTGGGAAGCTCTTGCAAGTAGAGAGAAGGAATAAATCCAGACAGATCAGTAGATCAATCAGTGGACCTATCTTCAGCCCTCTGCTGGCTTTCAAGTCTAATCTAAGCTTTGTTTGGGTGCCTTGTCTGCCTAGAATTAGTGCCTTTTTAGTGGTTCTTATAATGAGATTCAGTGAAGTCGAGTTCTCTTATTTCTGGCAGACCAGACTTAAATAAAGCAACCTGAATTTTCTGGAGGCACGTGTAACTTTGCAGTGAATTACACCTGGCTCTAGGTCTAGGTCTCCACCAAGGGTTCGATGCTGCCACAGCTTGCAGCAGAAAGTGCCTTGCAATGTATATGGTCCAGATCCTGGCAAATGCCATTTGAGGCCAGATGAGAGAGCAGGAGAATTTCCAGCACTGCCACAGCTCCAGTCCCCTGGCTTCTTGTGAGTTCCAGACTAGCTTGACAGGGAGGGGGCAGACAGCAAACACCAAGCCCATTCCAGTAGCACCTTCACCCATTACAGTGGCTGTTCTCCCTGCTACTGTCTCAATATGTGTGTGAATCAATGCCTGTTCTTTTGTCTCTGTGTGCGCGTGCATGTTGCATGCTCCGCCTGAGCATGGATGGAATTGCACATTAACTATTCCTCTGAAGAGCAAAGCACACAGCCATGTTGGACTTGACTTTTTAAATATAGCCTTTTTGTAATCTTGATCAAACCATTACCTCTTAGGAGAGGGAAGGCTATTTCTCCTTCTCTTGGCAGTGAAGCTATTGATTGCAAAACAGCCAACTCATGTTTTAGCTTCACAGACCGATGTGTGTTTTCCCATGAAATCCTGGAAAGTGACATGTGTTCTGTGAGGCAGAACAGTTTATCATTCTTTCTTGAATCTGTACCAGATTTGGCAGTGATGAAATCAACAGAGATGAGATATCTTAATGTGTGCATTGGATATAACCAAGTCTGATTGGACACACACAGATTTTAGTTATACAAACTTCACTGAGTCAAAGACTCTGGTCATAGCTGGGTGAACCTGTGAACACTGTGAGGGTCTTTTCACAGGCAAACAGCAGAGCAAACATTGCCTATTTTCTGTTCTACATATGCTATGTGCTAGCTTCAACATGTTCAGTTGTACTGGAAAATCAGCTGCATGTGCGAATGCAGAGGCACCATACTATAACAGCAGATCGACTACCTAGTGGCATCTGAAGTTACTCCATCAACCATAACAATAAGTCTTTGTTACACTAGCAGATGTCTAAATCTGTGATGAAATGAATACAAACTGTAAATGCAGAACTCCACTTTTATGTACCTTGATGACAGCAGATGCCTAGATATGCTTTCCTTGTCCCTTTGGTTCCTGGCTAGAGCCTTATTTATCACTGCTGTATCACATGATGGAACTCTATGTACAGAAAGGATTCCCAGGCACTGCCCAGCCCTATTTAACTTTGGCAGGATGGCTGCCATCTGGTAAAAATTTTGAGGGTGTTCTATCTTCCCACTGCCACTGCCCATAGGTGAGGCAATGACACTTTGAAAAGAAAATCTGTGAAGCATATCTAAATGGGCTTGAGCTGGATTGGTATTGCTCTAATGAGTGCTCTTCCTGGGCGGGGCTACAGTGTTGGGGAAAATAGCACCTAACTGGAGGCTTCCATAATAGGACATTTGTCAAAATCCAGATTCACTTGAAGAGGTAGTTGTGGCACATTATAGTTAGGTGTAAGTGTTTTGCACACAGGTAATCTCCATAGTACACACCTTATGCAGCAATATGCAATACCATTGATTATTTGCATGTGTGGGTAAAGCTGCCACTTTTGTCCCTCCTTTCTCTTAAGAAAGATGCAAGAACAGAATACCCAACCAGAAAGATCATACCATTTTGCATCTTTCACACATGGCACGGCGGCGGCAGCAGCAGCACTTAAATGTATGGATTCAGTTGGCTAGTGGTGTGATACTGCTGACTAACAACATCCTTGCAACTTTGGACAAGTCTAACCTTCAGGCTACAAAACTGCCCTTGCTTCCATCTGCCTGACATCTGATTCTTTCCCTAGCTGGAACAGAGCACTTGTGTGCATCTTAGGAACTACAGGTCATGACCGGCTCTGATGTTTCGAAGTTCCACATGTTTTCAAAGCTCTGCTTGCCCCTAGGGCCTAGGTTTATGTTTGCCAATCCTGAGAGCTTCCTAATTCTTTTTATATTGGAATAATATAAACATTTGGAATCTGTTCTGCTTCCTTGCTGGTAGCTAGCTGACTTGGCTTAAGACATTTCATGTTCCACTAGAGATGAGAATTACTCCTATTCTTTGAAATCATACAAACCAAGCTGAAGACAGTGGCATGCCAAAGACAGGCAGTATTGCTGCTCATTCTGCATCTGAGCACTCTCCACTATATTGCTTAGTTGCCTGGGGAGTATAGTTTAAGAAGGGTTTAATGCAAATTAGGTCCCCCTTAACAACAGCTTGACATGCTTTAGAGGCTGCCCAGTATGGTGGGATTTTTCTTACCCTGTCAGTGCATGCTTATGCATAATGGTGAGATTCTAATTGACCTTAGAATGTACAAGTATGGAAACCAGAATTAATTAAAACTCAGTGAAGGTCCCATGTATACACTCTTTAGAGGTGGGGCCAAGTTGGGAGACTGCAGATGTAAGAACTGTGCACTGTGTTTAGTTTTTGAGCTTGGGTGAAGAGCAAATCAAATGGGAGTCCAGAAGTCTGGGTGTCCTGAAAAGTACAAACTGCAAGAAATAATAGAGTGACAAAGGCACAAGCAGACTCTGTCACCTGTTCACCCCATGGCGGAGCATCTCCTGCTTTCCAGAAGATGAGTCTTGAGGGGCTATTCCAACCTTCTCTGCCTCTCAATTTCCCCCTTCAGTTGAGGAGCTCATTCAACAAGGCTTTCAGCATCAAGAAGGGCCCCAAATCTGCTTCCTCCTATTCTGACATAGAGGAAATTGCCACCCCAGACTCTTCCGCACCATCATCCCCCAAGCTGCAGCATGGATCCACAGAGACAGCCTCACCTTCCATCAAATCTTCCAACTCCTCTTCTGTGGGCATCGATAACACTGAGTAAGTGCAGTCTTCACTCCTTCAGGTATGGGGATACATCCGTGGCTGGGCTGATGCTTGAAGAATGTTCCGGTATGGAAAACATAGATGGATTTGGGGCCTTTGGCTTCTGTATTTGTAAGAGGAACAGCAGGGTTCTCTCCATTAGTCCCATCGGCTTGGATCCAGAATTACACTTGACAGAGATTTAGTAATGGTGAAGTGAGCCATTTTTGCTGATCCACCTATGGCCATCAGTGCCCCTTATAAACATGGTTGGAATCCTCATCAGGAGGGGGAAATTGGGAAGGGGAGGAGCTCTTCCATTCACAGAAAGTCCAATCTGAATGCAGCTCATTGTGTTTTGTCTTTGAACTCCACTGCCCTTTGTGGATGCAGTAATGCCCTTCTTTAAAATGTGTGGACCCAGTCCATTTGCTCAGCATTGTGCTAAATGTTACACACTTTTGGCTGACGTGGTTATTAAGAGGCTGGGTGTGTGGATGAAAGTCTAAAGAGGCCACTGACAAATAGTTTGCGGAGCATCTTTCTGTTGACATGTGGACACTAAGAAGGCACTGGCAGGGGAGAACACAGAAGCAAGAGAAGACTGCACTCTGCTGAAGGAGCCTCAGCCCGAAGCAGCAATCCTGAGCTGACAGTCCTTCCTAGCCTTTACCTACTAAAGTCCATGCTGGCATTCATCAACTGGCTCTCATTGCATCTAACTGTCTTTTCATCCACCCACAGGCTTTTCCAGACTAATGAAGAAGAGGAGCCCGAGAAAAAGGAGGTCTCAGAGCTGCGCTCAGAGCTGTGGGAAAAGGAAATGAAACTGACAGACATTCGTCTGGAAGCTCTAAACTCAGCCCACCAGCTGGACCAGCTGCGTGAAACGATGCACAACATGCAGGTGAGTGCTGACCCTTCATGGCTAGCAGCACCGCTGAAGCTGCCGCATGTTGGCCAGCACAGGAGCTTCTTTCTGTTCCTGTTGGGCTCTCACAAAGAGGCCAAGCAGGCTGAGTGCCACTTCAGCTGCTCCAGGGGCTGTTGGGAGTGAGCAAGGATTTGCCCATAATAGAAGTCTTCATGAGGCAGGTTATAGTAAAGAGCATCAGAATGGCCTTGTGCCATGAATTGCTCTTATTTGCTGATATCAGCCAGTAATAATGCTTTAAGTGGATGTATTGTAGAACACAAAACAGAGACGAGAAGCCGTCTACTGTGGTGGATGAACCAGAGCAAGTTGAGACACAGACAAACAGTGCAAGATCTGGGCTGTGGCTTTTCAAGCTCAATTTTTAGGGAAGATTCACAAGCTCAGAAAAATGATTGTGCTGTCTTCTCTGTTCCTTAAAGAGCCTACTCAGTGTTTGGCAATGAACAGGAAGTAGAAAGCTTCCAGAAACACATGCTCTCCTTGTAGGAAAAGGAACCTAGATTTCTGTTCAGTAGTGGAAATCTCTTTCTAAATGCCTTTCCTTGGAGACAGTCTCTTAAAATTAGCCGGCCTGGCTGCTGGGCATCTATACCACTGCTATAGCTGTCCCATGCCTGCCCATGTTCTCTGTCCATTCATGTAGCTGGAGGTGGATCTTTTGAAAGCTGAGAATGACCGGTTGAAGGTGGCTCCAGGACCCTCATCAGTGCCAAGCTCCATCCCAAGTCATGTCTTGAGCTCATCTGCCGCCTCCTCTCCACGGCGCTCTCTAGGACTCCAGCTCACTCACCCTTTCAGTCCTAGCTTGACAGATACAGGTATGGTGTGGTGCAACTGGTATAAGCTTTGTGGATCACCAAGCTGCCATTGCAAGCAGTTCACTTTTTGCTGCAAAATATTTGCTTCTTTTTTAACCTCCCCATCTCTGCATGCTGAAGTGTTTGTGTTTTTGCCTGTGTGGATGTGGGTCCCTTCCCCCTTTGTACATAGCCTCTGGGCTACAGTTGAGTGATAGAGGAAGGCAGGTGTCCCTCCCCCCCCCCCCCCCCCGTGGACATCATGGGGATCCTTGGCAATTCCATCACTTGCCAGTGGGGGCTTGTTCTGCACAGGACACGTACTGTCTCTTCCTCTTCCAGAGTTGTCGCCAATGGATGGCATCAGTGCAGGCCTCCAGAAAGATGAACTGACACTGCGAATTGTAGTACGCATGCCGCCCCAGCACATCATCAAGGGGGTAAGCACCAGTAAAGGGGGTGTGGGGCAGGGACAATACTTAGGGACAGTGCCTTCCAGGCATACCCTAAAGGTGTGCCAAGCTGATCTGGTGCACATGTAAAAAACAGTGGCAGCAGTTTTCCAAACTTATCCGTTATATCTTTCCCTTGTTGGCTTTCAGGACCTGAAACAGCAGGAGTTCTACCTGGGCAGTAGTAAAGTGAGTGGGAAATTAGACTGGAAAATGCTGGATGAAGCTGTTTGTCAGGTCTTCAAGGTGAGCGGTTAATGGCAACCTTTAGAGTTCACTGTTGTCTATGGACAGCAGTGTTAAATATCTGGGACATTGATCCATTAGGGATCAGGTTCACACATCTAGTCTTATCCTGCTGATTTCCCCTCCTGTTAGAAGTATGGTCTGAATGCTGGCATGGACAGAAGTATACTCTTAAGAATCTAGCAAGTCTTATTCCACATTACTGCGATAACAAAACATTATCTCTGAAATGAGTAAGCAACATAGGGAAAAAATGGAAAGGCCCTTGTGCCCAGTAAAGATTAAATAGCTCCTTAACCTCATCCTGCATTAGCAACAACAAAAACCCTAGCTTAAGATAAATTGGGGGTCATTTTTTTACCCCAGATGAAATTGCCTCAGGCCCTTTCAGAAAAAGCTGTTTGTAAAACCTTTCTGGCTGAAATCTTCCTTCAGAATTTTCAGTCAGCATAAGGATGACTTTCAGCTGAGCAAATACATTTAATTTAACTTTAATCCTTCCTGAGATTGTGCAAAACAAGAAAATTGATATAACAATGCTTACCATATTGACCTTTTTCTGCCTAACAATAGTTTGCCCTACTAACTTTAAAAAAATCATAGGAAAGCTTTTTCTCGGTGGATTTTAATTGTGATTGTTGGAGGTTTCAGCTAAGATTTATTTATTTAAGAATCTTATTTTTCTTTATTTGGATTATATTATTTGGGTCAAAAAGTATCCCATTTCTATGGAGTACTGTGTTTTGGTTTATAGAAAATAAAACTGTAAAAAGTAGGGGGCTGAACTTGGGAATGTTTAGACTAGGTCTTTTGTGACTATGTCCTAGAAAAACATATCAGTTGAACTGCTTATGTGGAATACAGAATGTGAGCTAGGGGATTGGCAGTTTCCCCACATTGCAGAATGAGGGCTATGGACATCATGGCAACAGACTTTTTTACTGAACTCTTTTGGAACCATTGTTTAGTGCTTTTGGCCAAACCAGTGGCTGCCCATTGCATTGAACTCCTTTGCATTAGGGGAGGAATAGAGGAGCATATGGCCCCAGCTGGCTGGGGGACACGGGGACTTGAAGTCTGACATCTGGAAGGCACCCAGTTCAGGAAGCTGGTTCTAAATAGTGAAGAGTTAAGCATACTTCTAAGGCCTAACCTGACCCGAGTCCCTGCCTGTTTTCTTTAAGGAGTATGTCACAAAAATGGACCCTGCGCTCTCCCTGGGGCTCAGCGTTGAGTCTGTCTATGGCTACAGCATCAGCCACGTTAAGCGAGTCTTGGACACAGAGCCACCAGAACTGCCGCCTTGCCGGCGGGGTATGACCAGCATCGCGGTGACGCTAAAAGGTACTGCCAGCACTAGTTCATAACATTCATTTAGCACCAGTGATATGTCAGGCTACCTCTGCTTGTCTCTTTGTTTTTCTCCTGCCCAGCCTCATGCAGCTAGCTGGGCCAGGAGGAGGAGGAGGAGGAAGCAACAGAGACCTTTGGGTGGAGAGCATTTGAGGAGAGCTTCCAGATTTGGAAGTGGAGCTGCTAACCACAGCACCATAGTATTTTTGTAGGTCAGCCTCCCCTGGTTTGGTGCCCTCCAAATATTTTGCATTTCAACATTCAATTTGGCCAGCTTGACAAGTCTTCCAGCATGTCTAGAAGGCAGCAGATTGGGGCAGTGATCTGTAGGTAAAGATCTGTGCTTGGCTACAGGGATTTTTTTTTTCATTTTACCTTTGGGTTGAACTAGAATTCTTACATATAGGCAATTTCCAGTTACTTAATCTGTACTGAAGATGATTTGGAACAAGCTGTAGGAACCCTCAGGATCTCACATTTCTCCTCTCCTCACAAGAGCAGAGAAAGAGAGCTTCTGCTTTCATTGTGAACAAGTTACAAATCTTTGCTGCATATAAACTTGGGGAACCAAGGTTCGTTGTAACCAAGGTTAGTTAAAATAAACTGATATCAAGCTATAGTATGACATTCTGGTTTGTTAACTGACTTTAACAAAGTCCCAGGTTCTGATTCGGAACAGAGGGAAATGTAAGTGGGAATAAATGATGCCAGCAGAAGACAAGAGCCTTGGTATGGGTGTAAGTATTGGGAGCTTCCGGTACAGAATTTACAAAAAGTTCAAAATGATTCTACAATCATACAAGAAAGGGGCAAAACATGGCTCAGGAGGGACCATTGTGATAGAATGCTCTGAGGGCTTTGATAGCTGTTGACAGTATGCAGAATGAATGAATGAATGAATGAATGAATGAATGAATGAATGGAGCCTGGGATGTTCTGAAGGCCCGGTGTGTGAGAGAGGGGATATCTTGTAACAGCCACAATCTTCTATGCAGGCTTGAAAGAGAAGTGTGTGGACAGCCTCGTGTTTGAGACCCTTATCCCCAAGCCCATGATGCAGCACTATATAAGCCTTCTGCTCAAGCATCGACGCCTTATCCTCTCTGGGCCAAGTGGAACTGGCAAGACCTACTTGACCAATCGGCTGGCTGAATATTTGGTGGAGCGCTCGGGCCGGGAAGTCACAGAAGGCATTGTCAACACTTTCAATATGCACCAGCAGTCATGCAAGGTTAGAAACCGCTGGCTGGGAATAGCTGCTCCTTAATCTCTGCCCAGTCTCAGAAACAATTTCTCTGACCCTGAGCTTAGTCCAACTGATAACTTTCATTCCTAAACCATAGTTCCTCTCTAAGTTCAGCTGAAGAATTTTGTGCATGTGTATCCTAATCTTCTAGTGAAATGAAATTACACACCTACACTCTCAGTGAGGTCCATTGTTATTTATTCTTTATTTTATTTTTATTCATTTTTTTCTCTTTGGCTATGCAGGTATAGAATTGCAGCTTTTTCTCCACACTGTTCTTCCATCCCTTTGCCGGTGCTCTTTTCCATTTCTTGATAGTGGTCCCCAGCTCCCACACTAGGGGATTTACCACCATCACCTATCCTAATATCTCTTCATTCTGTGATTGGGCACATACCTGTTTTTTCCATACTGATGGACTGATTTCCATTTTGCAATTTTTCTCCCAGGACCTACAGCTTTACCTCTCCAATCTGGCCAATCAGATTGATCGGGAAACAGGGATAGATGTGCCACTGGTTATTCTCCTTGATGACCTCAGTGAGCCTGGCTCCATCAGTGAGCTTGTCAATGGAGCCCTCACCTGCAAGTACCACAAATGGTAAGAGGATACTGTTCATTGGCATTCTACTCCTAAAACCAATCGTAGGATTCATAGTAATTCTGTCCTCAAGCGATGTTCAAAGTGACAAGTGCAACAGTGCATTCTGATGTGCACTGGCTTCTGTCTATGCTTCCCCTCACAGCAGGCACTTGTTGCCAGTGAGCTGGCTTTACTCGTGTCCTGTGAGCCTGTATCATCACTGCCTCTTAAGTGTCACACTATAGAAGAGGACTTCTGTGCCGTTAGTGCCATGCTAGACGTGGCCAACAAGGGAGGATGCGTAGTGGGCTTGTTCCTCCAGCGTTATGTTTCTGCCTTCTCTCCAGCTAGAGGCAAAACCACCCAAAGATGAACTGCGCTGATGACATTGTATTATGCGTACTTGCGGTGCACTTGCCGGCACTGGATGGCCACTGCCATTCTTTTCCATACTGTGAGTTTGACCAGAGAGAGATGAGTCCCCCATTGGGTGAGGTTTCTGGAATCATTTGGTTAAGGAAAGGGCTTCATATGGTGTCAAGGACTCAGCCAAGCTTAATTATATACTTGCTTGTTCTTGCATTAAAAATGTATATCCTGCCTTTGTAAGCAAAATGCCTGCTCAGGGGGGTTTACAGCATCTTACAATCCTAAATATAGCCTAACTTCCTTTAGCAGCTTCTAGCATAGCACCGATTGTTCAGGGAATTTCCACCATCATCAAACTCTGCACTCCTTCTCTGCAGCTGCTCTGGAAAAGCAGTGTTTTGTTCCATTGTTTTGAAATGGCAGCAACTGATATGATAAAAAAAGCCATGTTGTGCCAGTTATAGTCAACAACCTGCTTCTAAGACTGCTGTAATGACGCCTTCCACAACATGGTACCCTTTTGATGAGTTGAAGTGCGACTCCCATTAGTGCCAGCCAGCATGGCCACTAGGTATGGGATGCTGTCCTGTGTGGCTCCTGTGCTCCTGTGTGGAAAGTGTAAAAGTGGCAAAGTAAAGCCCTCTGCAGAAAGCAAATGGGATAAGTTATATAGTGCCTGACGGAGCTTATTCCTCTTCCCCACCAGCCCTTATATCATTGGCACAACAAACCAGCCTGTAAAGATGACTCCAAACCATGGCCTCCATCTCAGCTTCAGGTAAGGACAACAGTACTGAATTTACTGAAGTCTGGGGAGATTGTGCTGCATTTTTTTTCCAACAGCATCTCTTCTTCTGTCCTGTTGGTTCCAAGATAACCTAAGATTCAAAGGATTTGTGTTTGTGTGTGCATTTGTGTTCACAAATATGTGAATGATATAAGCCATTGTTTGAGGAGAGTAAAAAAGGTACAGCTCCTTTTCCTGTTCTGTATACTGGTCTATCTTCCCCAGCCTTGTGCTCTCCAGATGCTTTGGACTAAACTCCCCGAATTCCAGGCTTTTGACCATGTTGATAGGGCACCTGGTACATAACATCTGGATAGCACTACATTGAGGAAGTCTGGTCTAGAAAGAGCTTTGGAAGAGGATGGTTCGCTTGAGATCCATATCTGTCTTCCAGTTGTCATTACTAACCTATAACCTTACCTAACTCTGCAGGATGCTAACATTTTCCAATAATGTAGAGCCAGCCAATGGCTTCCTGGTGCGCTACCTACGCCGGAAACTGCTTGAATCTGACAGTGATGTCAATGCTAACCGGGAGGAGCTGCTTCGTGTGCTAGACTGGGTGCCCAAGCTCTGGTACCATCTTCACACCTTCCTGGAGAAGCACAGCACGTCTGATTTCCTCATTGGTAAGACGTGAGCCATGCTGATTGGAGAAGTAGTTCAGGAAGCTGGGGTGGGAAGACCATTCTAAATAAAGTTGCATGATCTTTCAGTGGTTGAACAAAAGAGGGATTCTAGACTGCGCAGAATCAACAACCTCTCATTGAGCATCCATGTGATTAAGTCTGGTGGGTTAGGTATATGATATTGATGGCAAAAGAGCAATCTACCATGCTCAGGGTTGGCACTTACTATTTCAAACTACTAGAGCTCTAGTTTTAAAGACAGTTTCCTGGCCTGAGTTCTGGCTTGTACCTTCTCTGAACTAGTCAGTAGATCAACAGTGTTGTTAGTTCTAGACTCAAATGGTACATTTAGGCCAGTACACTCTTAATGCCACATAGATCCTCCTTCAATATTTATTAATCCCTACTGAATAACATAGGATCCAAATGTTCATTCATTCCTTTCCAGTTTAGTAAGGAGCTGTTGCGTTACAACATACTGACTTCTGTCAGTAGCACTGCTGTAGCCACTGTGTCATAGCAGTGACCCACTATGGCCAAAATATTACAAGAGTATGGAGTTCCACACTGATGATGATTAGTTCATCCATGCCTCCTTACTTTGGTTTTCAGGCCCTTGTTTCTTTTTGTCATGCCCCATTGGTATTGAGGATTTTCGCACCTGGTTCATCGACCTGTGGAACAATTCCATCATCCCCTACCTTCAGGAGGGAGCAAAGGATGGAATCAAGGTACCTTTCTTCACATCCTCATCCCCATCCTACACAGTGACTGTAGACTGGAACCCTTTGCACAGGTAGATTACTGTTCTGATTCCTGCCACAAAGGCCGACCTGCCAGTATCCAAGCTCTCTTTTCAATCCCTGCTACAGGTGCATGGCCAGAAAGCTGCCTGGGAAGACCCAGTGGAATGGGTGCGAGACACGTTGCCATGGCCGTCAGCCCAGCAAGACCAGTCGAAGCTCTATCACCTTCCCCCACCCAGTGTGGGGCCCCACAGCATTGTTTCACCTCCAGAGGAGCGGAGTGGCAAGGATTCTACACCCAACTCACTGGAATCAGACCCTCTGGTATGTCTTCTGGGTGCAGAAGAGGACTATGGACAAGGAATGGGCTGGGCTTATCCCTGTAATTTTTGGCATAATTCAGTTAGAAGCTTGAAGGTCACTGGTAGAGGAACCTGGCATTCTAGCTCTCAGTGCTTCTCTTCTGCACCTGTCAGCTGTCTCAGGTGGGAAAGAAGGTGGGTTGCCAGGAATGGCACCTGGTGTGCCTGCTTGCAGCACTCTTCTTCATGCCAACTGCTGCTGGATGTGCTGGGTGGAGGAAGAAGGTGGGTTGCCATGACAGGTGCCCGGAGCATCCACTCATAGTGCCCCTCCTCCAAACGAAGTTGCACCAGATGAGGAAAGTTGCTGATCGCACAACTGAGACTCCACAAACTTTTGTTCGATCACTTCTTGGCTCAGCATGGTATGCAAGACTGGGCCAAGCAGGAGAGCCAGCCCACAACTGCTGGAGGAATGGCTTAGAAAAGGGTTCATCTCAACCCTAGTCTTGAGGTCCTCGTGCTGTGTAGGCCACCCCCTCCCAGTGTGCACACGAGTAGCTGGTGCTGCAGAACACCGTGGGGGGAAGGACAGAACATCCTAGCTAGACAAGCCGTCCATCTTTGCATTAAAGATTTACACAGCTAAACAAGCAGTTGCTAAGTATGTATCATCCAGCTGCCTTCCAGGACACAACTGTATAATATAATATAATAGCAGCTGACTTCTCTGTTTTGCCCATCTGTCTCTTACTTCCTCCTGTTTTCCTCCCTCCACCCCTCTCTCAAAAGGGCAGTTTAGCACATTGGGATCTGCATCTTCACATGGGCAGTGGGGAAACTGCTGTCCCACAGCCACATAAAAGAAACTGCATTGGTGAGCACAGCAAGCATAATAACGTTTGCAAGCAAGAGCCTTGAAATGACTATGGTGGTAGCACTGTGAGGATTTGACCACACGGTGGCATGAATGTGTAAGCCAGTGAAGCTGGTTCCACATACCAACTATGATAGCTCTGTGGGGTAGTTTTAGCTTTGCTAGTGTGTGAAGCCATGGCAGAACTGTGGGCATCATCAGGTAGACAGGAAAAGCAAACAGCAGCCTCTGTTTCTTTGTAAATCCTGAGAGAAGCTTCTGCCAGGCAACCTGGATAGGATGATTTAGTGACAGTAGAGGAAAAGCTTAGTAGGGACATGAGTTTGGACTGTTTTATCCTGCCCAAATAGGACCTGTCATGTGTTTGCTTTCCCATCCTCACTGTCACATTTGTCCAAGTACGTCTGGTTCAGTTTGAGCTCCAAAATCTTACTTTTAAAGGACATAATGAATTTTCTCCCCAGAGTGATTGCCTGGCATCCATATTAATGTCTTTTTGGTGCTGTATTGGGCACTGGACCTTCATTTTCTCAAGCTTTCAACTTCTGATGAGCTTTAATAACCGACTCTTTTATTTCTGTTAGTTTTCCCGCAATTTTGTAGATTATTGTTCTTGTGTTTTTGAATGGTTTTATTTCTTTTAGTTCAATGACCAGGTAATACCTGTTGAAGGGCATTTTTTACAAAATAAACAAGATATAGCTGATTTATAAAGGTCACAGCCTTAATTACATGGTTGTACCCTGTCTTCAAAGCATGATCCCCCTGGGAGGAAAACATCCAAGCCTTCTGAAACTGAGTTGAGATTCAAGGCCTGCTTGGACTGTTTTGTAGCTCATGTATACACCTGAATCAAAGGCACATGATAATTGAGACACAGGGATAACTGTAAAGAAAAGCTTCCTTTTTATATGCAGTATAGCTGTAAGTAACCATAACAAGACTCATCCTGCAAACCGCTGTGTTTAAACTTTGCCTGAGCTCCTTTTCCATGCCATAAAGGCTGAACACTTCTTTCTTCAGTTGGTAAGGCTGCTCCATCTTATCCAGAGCTCAGATGAGAAACTGATCTGAGCTGAAATAATATTTGCATGGCTTTCCTACTTATCTGCTTAGAAATCCTGATCTCTGATAACCCCTTCTGTACATTTGTGGGATATTCAGCACACATGTTTTGGCTTGTTTTCAGGCACTGTGGACTGAAAAACATGTCCTAAGTTCATTGTATACAAACCGAGCTTGGGGGCACTATAATAGTTTTAAAATAATTTTTGATGTTTTCCTATGCAGATGGCAATGTTGCTGAAGCTCCAGGAAGCAGCCAACTACATTGAGTCTCCTGACAGAGAAACCCTGGACCCCAACGTGCAGTCTGCACTCTAAAGAAGACTGGATCAGGATGGAACGGAGACTGGAGTGAGCTGGTCTCGGCTGCCTTCGCTCCTGGTTCTTCTTTGTTTTTTGTATCTGGAACATGTGGTCTGGAGTAGAGCACCACAGAGGGCAGGGAGGCGCCCAATGTTTGCTTTGGAATCTGTGCAGATGGACAACGAAAGAGGAGGCAGTTGATTGCTCCTCTGCAAGGAACTGCTCCCCCACCCCCACCCCAAGGACTACGGTGGTAGGAGAATGGTGGTTTTTATTCTTAGGCTCTCTGCCTCTGTCATAAACTCCTGGGCTTTGCAGTATGACTGAGGGCAGGGTGTTAATAAATCCCTCGGATCCAGGGTTGTCAGCATTGATGTTCCTATGTGGAGCAGAGACTTTGAAGACCTCCTCACAGAACTGGCCACTGCATTTTGGCAGGGCAATGCCAGCAGGCAGGGTAGCAGCCAAGTTTGTGGTTCCCTAAAATGAGGATCTTTTTATAAAGTAGAAAAAAGCAAAACCCCAGAATGGAACCAGTATGCATTGAGAGTGGGAAGAGTCGCTGCTTCAGCAACCCAACTGCTGCTGCAGCTGTTTCCCTTTGGATGCTGCCCTTCAGCTTCCCTACCACAACAAACAAAGGCGAAGGCCTAGGACTGTTAACTCTGACTTTGTACCCTCCTTATTTAATCTGCATGATGGTCCTTTTACATTCAAATGCCCAATAAACTCTGCTTCATTTTTTTTCCTTCCCCCATTATTTTATTTTGGTTAAGCTGGGCCATTCTGTTTACTCTTTGGTTCAAAGAATTATGCCTTTAAAAAACAAAACACCCAGCATTGGTTCCAAAGGAAGGAGCCACTCTTATTGCATTTTTTGTTCAGTAAACCCTTTTCTCAGTTTAGCACTCTGTAAATCCCATTACCGCAGTCCCGCCGAACTAAAATGGGTGCTGACTGGATGACCTCCAGTAACCAAACCTGCCTTGTGGGTCCTTGCAGCTTGCATCAGATGCACACAGGGTTGAATCAGCAGCACAACCTTCTCAAAGATGCACAATGTGATGAGAGGCTCCTTTTCCAGCCCCATTCATTATCATTCCATTCTTAAAAGCACAAGAGGCCTGCATATGTGAGACCAAGGGGAGATCGTTTCATTGTGGCCATCTGTTTGGACCACAAAGCCACCAAATCCCCCAAAACTTAATATGTCTCCCACATCTACCCTACATATGGATGTTCTTGTCCTTGGGCCATTTTCTGTTCTGCTCACTTGAGGAGAGAGGGTAGTAGATAACTTCTGCAAACTTAGTTAACCAAAAATAAATAAATCTCACCAAGCACTGAATTTCGATATACTCAGTATTCTAGGTTGGGCCATGAATAGGCTTGACCTTCTACATTGAACAAAAATCTTGTTTCTCCTTCCCTTTCTGCCCCAGGGCCATCAGCTCTCTTAACAGATACAAAATGGTGCTCTGATTTAGGTCAGATCTATTTTCCTATATTAGAAGCTATTTGGATTAGATATATGTGATAGGCATGCCTTACTTTGTCAACTTGCCTCAAATTGCAATTTCTGTTGGACGGGGCCTCTCTCACCATCGGTCAACCCTCTCTGTGCGTGAGAGAGGACGTTCACTGCACATTTCACAAGCCCATCCACTGGCTTTCCCGGAGGGCAATTTTGAAAAGAAGGTTACAGACGTCAGGCTTGCAGCTTAACTCTAAGATACTCAAATGGTTTGTTGGGGAGTTCTAAGGCCACTTTGTCAACTTCCAGCCAGAAGAGGCTGGATAGTGGAAACCTCTAATAAAGTGAGGTAACTCTTTGAATTTTAGTCTCTATGGCAGATGCCAGGTAATTGCTCGGTTCTCCATAATGCATGTCACATACTTCAGCAGATTATATAGAAATAGAATATGAAAAGCAGAATATGATATTTCCTGGTGTTGTTGAACAGCCTTTGCCCTGTGCAGTATTCTCTTGCTATCCAGTCAATGTATTACCTTTGATTTCTGTTTTAATGTTGGAACATGTGACTCCAAACATCACCCCTTCACCACCATACTAACAATATAAAATCCCTAGAATTTCTTGTACACTGAATAATTGGTAGATAGATAAAATGTGCCAAATACCTCAAGGATTTTTCATTTCACTAGAAGACATGCTTGGCCCCTTTATGGTTCTGAGCATTTAAGTGACGTTGCCCATATTTTTAGTATTTTATCTGTAACTATGAGGTCTAGAAAATGTGGTTTTAGAAGAGAGTAATTATTCTCAGGACTGAAGATTATGTGCCAAGTTCTGCACTTGACCAGTCAACAAATGGAATGTATATAGCTTTAACCTTCCCCCAGTTTTGCCATTGCAAACCTCTTGAAGTCAAAACCTGCTTGTTCTAGGATAGCCATAATGCAGTTCTAACAAGTGGGATCGGCAGCAATGCACTGCACCTTGTTCCATCTAGCCGATACTCCATTCTGTTTCTTTCCATTTCCCACTCCTTCCCCCAAACAAATGCACAATCTTCATTTTGTACTGAACATGTTCAGTCCTTGCTGAAGCGTTTGGCAGGGCAGCTGGTTGTCCCCTTAGGATCTTTTTCCCTACCCCCACTTTTTTTTTAATTACTACTTTCAACCTTGGGGTTTCCCTGAGCAAGCTAATACTTTCCTCTTGTTTGTGAATCCACATTCAGAGCAAGAGTTTGCCATTTAGGCTGTAATTAATGTGCAGGCAATCTGTGACGCAGATGCCACAGGTAGCCCACCTGCTGGTGTTTGTGGCATGCCTGATGAGCAGAACAGAAGGATCCGTGGGGCCTGGCCACTCCTGAGTCCTGCCTGCAGGCTGGCCTGCCTGTCTAATGGCACACAGCTAACTCTTTGCCTTGGCAGTGCTGAGACAAAACAATTCAAAGGACAGGGTTTTTGCATGTGTACCGTACTGTCGACTCAAATGGTGCTATCTCATACTTGACACTTGTCAGAAAGGTTAGCCAACGCCATGGTAATTACAAGCAAAGTTTTAAAAAATGCAGGATTGAATGGAAGAGTTTGCAGTGCTTTCCATGACCAAAAATAAATAAATGACAAATCAGCTTACCATAAAACAAGACCACATGTAATATAAAAGTGATATTCTTGATGCACTATTTCTTATGTCCAGCCTCCTCTCTTTTCTGCTCAAATTTTCTTTTTCTTGGGGTTTTCACTGTGAACAAAACAGGGTGGCAAGCAGTCTTCATCTGAGATGTTGCATGATTACACAACGCCAGCCTCCTCCAGTCTGGTGCCATCCAGATAGGTTGTTCTACAACTCCCATCCTCCCTGCTGACAGTTATTGGCATCCTCTCCAGCAATTTTCTGAAGATAGAATTGATTGCCTGTGTTATAAGTGTAAAATGGGAGCAGATGTCAGTCTCCTCTCCCAGCTTTTTGAGGTCCCTCTAGCTCTTTCAAGCAGAATGTATTTTAACTGGCTACTCACCTTCCCTTGCTCAGTCTGAATTAGTATAGAATGGTTAGCCATGCTCTGACTGCCCGGTGGTGATGATGAGGCTGAGGAAATCTTCTAAGAGGTGACTCTCTTGCTGCTAAAATTCCCCTTCTTGACTTGTATAAGAGAGGGAGGGAACTAGACCGGGGGGGAGGGGGCAGGATGAGATGCAGCATAGATTAGCATGCATTGCCCATGTGTGCTTTCCTAATTGACCTCATGCACAAGCGTGCTGTGCACTCCAGAGCCTTGTCTGTTGACTGACAGGATGCCTGTTCAAGGCGGATAGAGAACTCTTGTGCATTAAAGTGAAGTTGTGCTGCTGTCAAACTGTGATGTTCTGAGCAAAAATGCAACTTGAATGACTGGACTGTGGTGGTAACCATGGTTCAGCAACTCTGCCTTAATGTCACTCTTAAAAGATGGGATTGTGGAAAGGGAGCCTCTAGCCATGAATTGGCAGATGTTACTCTTAAGTACAGGAAAGAGTCTGTGATGGCCTTCTAAGCTTAGGGCTAAAGTACATGTTAAATTAAACGCGGAGCATTTAGATGATCCTAACATTTGTTCTTGTTTAGTGTGATCCTGTGGTGCCCTAGTATAGACATCAGTAAAGGGTGAGGTTAAACTTTTCCACCCAGTTGTTTTCCCCAAATCCATCCCTCCCAAATGGATGTTCAAGAGAGAACTATACCTTCAGCACCAGCTATTGTGTTTCCCCCATGTTGTTTTAGCCCCTCTATGTAGGGCTCATTGCAAAGGTTTAACCCATGCCCAGTGGTACTGATCCAGATCAAAGGCTTAAGCAACTGCACTAAGCATTAAAAATGTTAGGATCAACTACATGTTACATGTTCAACATAGCATGCAGCTGGGACCCCGGCCCAAGCCAAATGCTGGATCTCTCATCTTCAGCACAAGAAGCTCAGGAGAGGAAGGCAGGGTGATACTCACTGCCTTGTCTGCTGGGCTTGTTTCTCCTCCCATCAGTGACACTGTTGCTTGGAACTCTTTTTAGGTGATCAGCTCAGTAGATATCTTGGCAGGTGCCTTGCATCCCAAAACACCCAAACACAGGGAACAAAGCCACCCTTCTCTTTCTGCTTATATTGTCTCTCCATAGAGGATGATGGGACATTTAATTTGTAGAGTGAATAGCACTAGGCCAAGCCTTGCACCCCCCCCCCCCCCGCAGTAGAACAGGTCTCTCTCAAGAAACATCTCCTTTTTAAATCATTCCTAGCTACCTCTTTGCTAGAATAATGATACTCAGAGGGAGGATTTTAACCAACTTTCCAACCTACTTTGCCACTTTTCAATTAGTTGTTTCTGTTGGTGTCAAAACCTGATGAGCTGAGGGACCTTAGGGGATCAAGCCATGTTTATGTGCTAAGACAATGCAGGTTGAAGATGTTGCCTCCATTGGGATCTAACAGCAAGGATAGTTTCTGCCAACTCAGAGCAAAAGGAGCATGGTTGAGTTACTGAAAAAGCCATTGTTCAAGCTCCTGGGCTTCAGATCCCCCAAAAGATGATGCTCTGCAGAACAGAATGTGTTTTCCTGCCTCATTTTCCTGTCCCACACCCATTAGGGAGGAAGACATAGAAGCAGTAGCTTGACTACTTTGTCTAACATCCTGCACTGAGTTTCTCCAGTAAGAACATAGGTGACTGCCTTATATTGAGTCAGACCGTTGTTCCAGCACTCACTGTCAGCAATGGGCCTCCTCCAGTTTTCCTCCTGGTAGGAAGGAAGATTACCATCTGGTCCCAGCTTCAACTGGGTCTTTAAATGGACTCTTTTGTAAAGCCGGTGGCAGAGGACTGGATAAACGATAAGGTATAGCTCCCATCTTTTTGTATTGATTCCTCTTCCCTACTCTTCACGGGGAATTTTCTGCATTGGCGTAATTTGTTGAATGAGCAGTGGTAAAGCCCATGGATATGCAGTGAGCCAAGGAGAACCCCTGAGATGTATTCTAAACCCTCAGGGTTTATGGAGGGTTTTCTTCCTTTGTCAAGGTGTCAGCACTCCCATTACTACCTTGCAAGGTCTTTCTCTCATGGTCCCTGCATCAGTTCTCCCAACATTTATCAACTGATCTGCTTCAGACAATTTCCTTCCCTGTTGCACAGGGTTATGAATACACATTCCAGCACAACCAGGTGCATGGATTTAAATTTCTCCAAGAATGTCAAGCACATGGCAAATAAGAGCATTTATTCAGTTTTGAACTT